GTAACAAATAATAGTAAAATATTTTTAAAATTAACTTACATTATATTACAAATAAATATATATAGTAATATTTAATATTATTTATAATTTACAAAACTTAAAAAAATATCATTGAGTTAATAGTTTTTAAAAGATATTAGAAGCTATAAATTAAAATAGTTAATAACAACTAAACATACAAGTGAGTAAACATCATTCAAAATAAGAAATAAGAAAACGTACATTATGATTTTTAAATAAAATATAATTTGTTAATTGCATTACTCTAGTATTTTTTTGTCAAAAATTACCAAGATGATCTATTGTCCATTTCCTAGAGCTAAAAGTAATTTTAATTGTTTGGGAATTAGCATTTTTTTGCCACATTGCTGATTCTAACTTTCAATAATGTGGTAGGTATATGTTAGTATATGTTGAAAATCATTATCTTGCTTGAAAACGGAAAGACAACATGTTTTACATTGATAGATATTACATTCACCCATATAGTTTATATTAAAATTTTAATTTCTCATCGAAAAAATCATTGTAACATAATTCATATAGATGTTTATTTATTTATTATTTACGTTAACTGATGAGCCATTTGATATTATCATGTACGTTGGTAAAAGTATATGACACCCACATACCTACTTACATTGTTAATTTTTCTTTGCTGAAACTTTTTATTTTAATAGTGCAAGTTATCTAGTCTTTCCGTTGCAGCTACTTCACTAGTCACACATTTTGTCACTAATCGTGTGAGCACTGAACGATTATTGTCATATACCAATTTATGCACCAGAATTGCCGGTAGCTATTGTAGGTCTGAAATATGGATCAAATCCTTTGCAATACCTTTTCTGCTGCCGTTGTCTTCACTTTTACAGCTGATTGAAAACGGCTAATTCTTTCTCTAAAACTAGAAAAGCCCCCGTTTCCAGAGATTTCTTACCTTGGTAGTTGGCCCCAGAAAATCGAAATTACAACTCATCCTGATCTTGTGTATGTGGTTTCCTGTTTCCATCGGTCAATTATTTACAGTAAAAACAAACACAAACATTCACTCCGACTCTAAGAAATATACAACAATTATAGAACTAATTTATGGCCTTTCAAGACGCGTGTAATGGCCATTTGGATGGTGTGTAATTAATAAGCCAAATGTCCACAAACGAATGAGTAACATTCTAATTATTGGTACTGTTCTTGTTGATATTGACATATATAGCAATCAAAATAAAAAAAGTGAACGATCATCGATCAAAATACTCAATGGCAACATGAAAAATCGAGTTTGCTGGTGCTACGTGTAAATTAAAGGATAAGAACTTCATTGCCGCCACACACTTGAATTCACAGACAGTACTTTCGTTCGACAAAACCATATATATGAACAAGATCGGTGATCCATCTGTGTCTATTTTCTTGGAGGCTAATTCACGTGAAACTTGCGGATCTAAATGTGGGCATTCCATGTGGAATATGCAGAGCCACCATAAATCACAACATATAGAATACATCTCTTTTTCAAAAAAGTGTATGGTTGAAATTGTATTAGATTTTATAATATCAATCATTTAACAAATATTGAGTCTTGATATTAAAGGTTCTCTTTTTATTTAATGATATTTATTTTATGTTAATAATTTAAGTAATTTAATGGTTATTTCTTTTTTATTGGAAGTAAAAAATCTTGAATTCGAATAGTATAACATGCAAGTGAAGTGAGATAAAAGATGAAAAATAACTATCTTCCATTCTGTAACAAAAATTAAAAAAAAATGATATTTATTTTATATTTTATTGCAATAATTTATTATAGTTTAAATTATAAAATAAAATTTCTATTGTTTAAAAAAATTATAAAATGTCTCTAAGTTAATGTTTATCTATAAGAAAATTAATTTTTCTCCTGATAATTTAAGGTACAACCCAGCAATGAGGTTCAATGTAATTAAAAAAATTAATTTACTTAATTAAACATTATTATCTTTAAAAGTTAGTCATAAACTAAATTTAAAAGGGAACTTTCTTGTCAACTGATTCAATGTATTCTAGTACTCATACTCTAGGTAGGAATGAGAAACATCCCATCTGGCGCAGGGTGATGCGCTGGCGTGGGCTATATAACAATTGCTTTGTTTTCATCCAAATAATGGAGGAGGAACCAATAATAATGAGCCATCTAAATTACCCCACAAACAAAAAATTAAACGTTGATACTCATCATTTGCATGTGGCTAACAATGTCGCAGTCGTAACAATTGTTGTTGTAAATTTGGTGGTTCAATTATTCAACGGTGTCCCTAGATGGCTGAGTAGGTGCTGACTAGGATGCAAAAGGAAAGGTTGAATTAACTAGAACCACTATTTCTTGGGGCGGCCAAATTAAAAAAATGCAGTTTTGGCAAAATAATAAAAATAATGGAAGGCGGTTGCCAACACTGATGGCCCAGTGTTCGCAAGCTCTTGCGTCTTTCTTTCTTTCTTCTTTCTTCTTCTTCTTCTTCTTCTTCTTCTTCTTTCTCT